TTATGTTGGAGGTGTGGAACAAGTGAAGGAACATTCCTCCACATTTGGTGGTCTTGTAGTTTGGTTAATAAAATATGGATTAAAATTTTTCAACTAATATTAGAGATTCTAAACTTGGAAATCAAGGCTTCTCCAGAAAAGGCTTTGTTACATATAGACCTGGATAATATAAAAAAATATGGGAAATTCCTGACTATCCAGTTATTTGTGGCTATGAAATCGGTTATTTAAAGAAGGTGGAAGGATAAACAGAAAATCCCCTTGACAGCAGTTTTGAATCAAATGCACTTTCAGTGTATGATGGAGAAAGGTTACTTTATGGCGTTTCAAAGATTTGCTTCATATAAAAAGATATGGGATCCCTGGCTTAGAACATATCCAGATACGAGTAATGTATGAATTCCTTTTTCTTTTAGGTCTTTGGAATGTGGTGGGGGGCTTCAACTCTGGGTCACTCAGGCACTGCCTTTTGTCATTTGTCCTATGTTTGTGGTATGATAGAAAGGGTTTTCCTTATAGGATATAATACGACATGTTGTGTCAATTAATAGAAAGGAAAATGATTAATGAATGTCTTTTATGAATACCTTTCTACTGTCTGATTGTAAGATTGTGTTATTTTTTATGTAAAAAATTTAATAAAGAACAAATTTTGAAAAAGATACATAACTATTATTATTATTTTTTTTTTTTTAATAATGCAAATTCCAGTAGCTCTGTCTTTATTACAACATATGAAATATTTGTCCAAGATCAAAACATCAACTGACATAGAACTGAATGGAAAAATATCCCCCTTTAAAAAGGTAAATAACAAATCTAGAAGTACATTAATTCAACTGTATTACTCACAAGCCTTGTGTCAACAAAGAATACAGCAATCCGACATGTACGTCTTCGAAAAACTAAGGATTACACTGTTTACAAGATTTAATAGGTATTTAGTAGAAAGCATTCACAAAAATGTTTGTTACAAGGCGGCATTTAAAAAAGTGATGTAGGCTATAAAAGAGTGAAAAACATGTTTGATGCAATGATCCAGACACCTTTTTTGGATTGTCCTTTAACAGATAGAAATTATGCCACATTTTGGTGATATGTACTCTTTTCTGCTTAGACTGATAACCAAGAACAATATAGTGTGCTGCACACTGCTCAATATGAGATTTGGCCAAATACGATCAACATGTTGTCGTTTATGCCTCATTTAAATAGTCATGATTTTAAAAAAGAAATAAAAGATGACTCAGACGTTTAGTAAAATGTAGAAATGACCAGTATTCCACCAAATTCAAAAGCATGGGTTTCAAAGTGCTGACCCACAAGCCCTTTCTGGCCCACTCAACAGGTAACAGTGATAATAAAATAGTTAGATTTTTACTGTCCTACAAAATCTATTGTGTAGTTTTTTTAAAAAAATACAATAAGAAAGAAACAAAGATCTCAATAGTATTTCAAAGTTCTCAGTTCTGGTAAGGTTGCATAAAGAACATATTTTCTTGTTTCACTGATTAAATATGAGTATCTAAACATCACGTTGATCGTTCAAAGATTCAACCATGTGAAAATTGCTCACTAAGCCTTTTGAGAAATTCAGCATTTCGATGCAAAACAGAAATTGGTGTAATATTAGCAGAAACATACAATTTCCATTGTAAATAAAACATCTGTTTGCAACTACTCATTTTATAATCTTCTGCTAATTTGGAGATTGCATTATTATTTAGAAAGAGAAACCTATTTTAATTCCTTAAAGTAACACTGTAGGCACCCAGACCACTTCAGCTCATTGAAATGGTTTGGGTGCAGTGTCCGTTTTGCACTTAGTGCTGCAATGTAAAACATTGCAGTTCTAGAGAACTGCAATGTTTACATTGCAGCTCTAAGTCTGCCCTCTGCGGCTGTCTAACAGACAGCCACTAGAGGGCTTCCGGAATCCAAACGGACTTTTGGTCTGTTATCTGACGCTGGACATCCTCCAGCATCAGATTTTCCCCATAGGAAAGCACTGAAAAATGCTTTCCTATGGGGAGGTCTAAAGCGTGTGCAGCCATTTCTGAGCATGCGCACTAGGTCTCCCCCACCGGCTGACGTTGTTGGGAGATGAGGGTGGGTGGAGCCTGACCCAGCGCCGAGGGACATCGGCGCTGGATTCAGGTAAGTGGCTGAAGAGGTTTCAAACCCTTCAGCCCCACGAGGGAGGGGGGGACCTATTAACTCTATAGTGTCAGAAAAACAGCTTTGTTTTCCTGACACTATAGGATCCTTTTAAGGGGACACACAGCTCCATAAAAACTTAAACTCATTTAAGCACCTTCTCATCTTCAGGTGAAACCATTTGACAATATTTAAACCCACTAAGTTAAGGCTGCAGGACCCAACATATCTGTCTCCTTATTCCATTCCTCTCTTTGTTACAGTAACAGGAAGGGTTAGCTAGGTGACCAGTTAAATTAGCTTAAAGTTGTTATAGGGATGGAAGTCTTCCGTTAAAGGGACACTATAGTTACCAGAACACCTACAGCTTTATGTAGTTGTTCTGGTGAGAACAGTCAATGCAGGCATTTTAATATAAACACATTTTGCAATTATTAAATCGTATTTAGAGATGAAAAGGCTTACAATCTATGAGCGTTTGGTGAAGAAGGTATATACCATTAGGTGTCTGATTGGGATTTGAACCTGGGTCTTGCCTGCAGAAGGCAGTGATGTTCCCACTGCACTAACTAGTCAGAATTCTATACTGAAAAGACTGCTGGTGTAGGTAAAATGAGCACTGTGGCTTTTTAAGCAGTATTGCGAGGGCTGGATATCCTATTAAGCAGATTAGGCACTTTATTAGTAGTTTATGTGGATTGATGATAGAAGATTATTAATGGAAGCCTTGGCCTGTGTCCTCTGTAGTCCAGTCAGCTTTCTATATTTGATAGCAGAGCTACAACAAAAGTTATAGAGCGTGTAAAATTCAGCACTTTCCTAGCTCCTCCATTGTCTATGTGTGAGGCTGGTTAGGAAGTGGAGGGGATCCCTTACCATCTGCCAATTAACAGCCTCTCACATAGGTAGAAGAAGCAGGGACAGCAATGAGTGGTGCTCACTGTATAACAGCTACGTTAGGCCAACAATCAATTATAGGAAGCTGGTGGGACTACAGAAAACATTGGATGGTAAATACTTTGCAAAAAAAACTTCAAGTTCCACATGCCCTAAGGACCCCCTTCCCCCAAACCCACAATAAGCCCCTCCAAAAACCCAAACACACCCTTTCCTTAGTTCCAAATGTCAAATCTAAGACTTTGAAAAAAAAAACCTCATTTTAATTTCAGGTTTTAAGACATACTATACTATAAAGCAGTTTTGGAGTATAGAATTCTGTGTCTATAGGGATTCCAGTCTGGAGTATGGCTTATTGAGTAGTATTGCTTTCTGAACAACTGCAGTTCTCAAGTAACATTGCTAGAACTGAATAGCTTGAATTTCTATGTTGGAACGGGGTCTCCAACTATCATATTGCAATGACAATATAGAACTTAGATTATTCATGTTATGTTCACAGATACGTAGGCAGGTTTGGTATGCCTATCTGTTTAATTAGCCCATTTGATTTGTGGTGCCATGATTCATATATCATTCCCAAACATAGAATTCAAATAACCATAGTGCTATATTATTGTGTCTCATAAACCAAAGATCAAGGGACATTCTGGGCACCAACACAAGTTACGGTCTTTGATTTTGATGGTTTATAGTTATAGTATTGCTAGACTTTTCTTTCTGTTCAATTCACTGCCGATTAATAATAAAAAGAAAGGTTTGGCAGCTTTCTGCACCATATCTGGTCCTCTTTGGCAAATCTGCTCACAAAATGTCCTCAGCTCTAGTATACATATGGACCTCATCTACAGTGACCAGAGAATGAGCTAAACTAGGAAAGAGCCTGCATACTGCAGACAGGAGGAGAGAACAACCAGGAATACATGGTAAGTACATGGTAACTAAATATACGTATGCATGTCTGTCTGTGTGGCTGGCTGTCTGGTTTATATTTTATGTGCACTTTTGCCACTGGATACACTGAGTTGGAAATGGTTGGGGAGCTGCGCAACAGTGCTGGCTGTAAAGGGACGTCAAATAGACGATACCCAGCTCCCAGGGCCGGATTAAGAGCACAGTGGGCCTGGTGCTGACAATTATGATGGGCCTAATTACGGAATCTTATCGACCAAAAACACTAAAACAATTATACCTCCAAAGCTTCATGTATCTGATGGAGATGGTGCTGGAGGGAAACTCATAGGATGCAGCTATAAGAAAACACATACTATATGCTAATCCAGCAAGTGCACACAAGTTTTGTTCCCATACATCCCTCTTAAGCTTCCAAACTTAAAGGGACACTATAGTCACCAGAACAACTACAGCTTATTGTATTTGTTCTGGTAAGTAGAATCATTCCATTCAGGCTTTTTGCAGTAAACACTGTCTTTTCAGAGAAAATAACTCCACTGGCTGCTCCTTAGAGGGCTGCTAGAGGTGTTTCCTGGGGCAGTACTGCCTAGTGTGCAGCACTGCCATTCAGTGTCTCCACCCTCTTCATGCAGACTCTGAACTTTCCTCATAGAGATGCATTGATTCAATTTATCTTTATGATGAGATGCTGATTGGCCAGGGCTATGTTGGACTTGTGCTGGCTCTGCCCCTGATCTGCCTAGTTGACAGTCTCAGCCAGTCCTATGGGGAAGTATTGTAATTTGCTCAGACCACCACTTCTGAGCCAGCAGCTGCAGAATTTAATACAAGTAATATTTTACTATATTTAGGGAGGCAAGAAGGGGCCAGTGTGGTGGTTTTAACATAATAGGGTCAGAAATACATGATTGTGTTCCTGACCCTATAGTGCTCCTTTAAGCAAGAGTATGTGAAGAGTAGTTAAGGTTGCCACCTTACTTGGAAAAAAGTACCAGCCTTAATAATTTGTATAATTAATTGGTTATGCGTGACATCACATGATGTAAATCACAAGGAGTGACATCAGAGAAAATTCTATAAAATCACCAAACTACTCACAGTTTGATTCTGCTGTATAGATGGATTGCTCCCAGTGTCTCCCTGTCTCTCAGTGTCTCAGTCTCGCAAGTCACCCAGTGTCTCAGTGTCCTTATGTATCACAGTGTCAGTGTTCCCCTGTCGCCCAGTCCCCTAGTCTCCCAGTGTCTGTGTCCCCATTTCTCCCAGTGTCCCAATGTCTCAGTGTGTCCCCATGTCACTAGGATACTGGGGACACTGAGAGACCCAGGGACACTGAGACCCGGGGACACTGAGACATTTAGGGAAACTGGGAGAAATGGGGACACTGAGACACTAGGGACACAGACATGGGAACACAGACACTGGGAGACTAGGGGACACTGGCTGGGAGACAGACACTTGGGGACACTGGGAGACATGTTGGGACAGTTGTGGACATAGACATGTGGACACTGGGACATATAGGGACACTGGGAGACATGGAGACACTGAAACATTTGGGGACACTAAGACACTGGGAGACTAGGTGACACTGGGAGACTAGGGGATACTGGGAGACTAGGGGACACTGGCTGGGAGACAGACACTTGGGGAGACATGGGGACAGTTGTGGACATAGACATGGGAACACTGGGACACATGGGGACACTAGGCACACAGAGACATGGGGCACAGACACTGGGAGACTTGGGGACACTGAGACACTAGGGACACTGGCTGGGGGACATAGTGTCTCCGTGTCCCAATGTCTCCCAATGTCCCTATGTCTCTCAGCGTCCCCATGTGTCTCAGCATCCCCTAGTGTCTCAGCGTCCCCTAGTGTCTCAGTGTCCCCAGGTCTCCCAGTGTCTGTGTCCCCATGTGTCCTAGTGTCTCAGTGTCCCCTAGTGACAGTGTCCCCATGTGTCCCCTAGTGTCTCAGTGTCCCCTAGTGACAGTGTCCCCATGTGTCCCCTAGTGTCTGTGTCCCCATGTGTCTGTGTTCCCATATGTCCCCAAGTGTCTCAGTGTCCCCATGTTTTCCAGTGTCCCCAAGTGTCTCTGTGTTCCCAGGTCTCCCAGTGTCTGTGTCCTAGTGTCTCAGTGTCCCCTAGTGTATGTGTCCCCTAGTGTCTGTGTCCCCTAGTGTCTAAGGGTCTGTGTCCCCTAGTGTCTCAGTGTCCCCATGTGTCCCCTAGGGTCTCAGTGTCCCCATGTGTCCCTGCTGCCTTTCCCCCGATCCCTCACTTACCTGAGCTCTAGAGCTGCTGTCTGGACTCTCTGTGCTGTGTAGCTGCTCCCCCACACATCAGTGAGTAGTAGAGAGAGGCAGGGATATTTTGTAACTTCCTATCCCTGCCTCTCTCCTACTGGCCGGTGCTGGTATTGCAGAGTAATTTCCATTTATTCTGAGAAAATTACCTGCATTTGTATTGCTGGTATTACTGCAATACCGGCAGGTCCAGGCAGCCTCAAATACTGTCTGTGACATTAAAATACCAGTCAGGTGGCAAACCCCTAAGAGTAGTTTTTTTTTAAATGGGCCTATTCCATGGGCCTGGGCCTGGAGCTGCAGCTCCATCAGCCCCTATGTTAATCCGGCCCTGCCAGCTCCATTTGAATTTAATCTTTGCAAATGTTTGCCAGTAATGCTCAATGGATTGCTCAATGTGACAGGCTAGTTTATATTGTGATTGGTACTTATCCTAGTACCAGAAAAAGCCTGAAAAGACAGACATTGTTATGAAAGGAGCACAGAGCAGAATAATGACTATAATGCTAATTTGTGCTCTTTTCATAATAATTCCTGGCTTTTCAGTTTTCTGTTGCTTCTAGGCTAAGTCCTGATCATAATATAAAGTCGCTTGCCATAATACAAAATGTCTCTCAACAAATGCCTCTGAACAAGCATAGTCCTTTCCCTTCTCTGCACAGTGGGATTAGTAGTATTTATACAGCTGGAAATAACAAGCATAAATCGATATTCATCAACCTTTTGTGCATAATTATGCTTGCCATCTCTTACTATGTTCAGTATGAATTTCACCGATCCACTGCGCAATGAATGGACATATTCTCCACAAAACCTTTCTTCCCCTAAACCTTCATGAGTGGCTGAGACAAAAAAATGCACATGGAACAGTAACGATGACATTACTGCCTCTCACAACCAAGAAGTAACCATTATTCTAGAGATTGATTGCATCACACTGGATCTCAGCCAACTTACGAAACAGAAGCTGGTTAGACAGCTGCAGCGGAAACAACCAACCAGCAGCTGAGGAGCTGCTAGTCTGAAGATCCAAGCATTATACATATTTTTGACAAGAATATATATAAGAAAACTAATTAATGACATATGGAAAGAAGAGATTAACATAAAAATGCATGTGTCCATTTAAGGACCTAATATAAGTATAATAGAATATAAACATTCACGTGCCTGATTAGTATAAATATTGAATTGTATAAACAGTAACACAACTGCCATCTGCTTCTTTGACTTCTCTTATAGTCCCCAATCTTTCTATCTTGTTTTTGTTACACAGAAACTCATCGAAGAAGCACTTGTGTCCTGGCTACTATGTGATATTGTGTCAAATATTTCAACCAATTCACTCAGTGTTTTATTTCTTGAGTGAACAATTGCTATTATTTAATTGAAATTACATCTGTTCCGCTATCAAAATCTGGAATATATGCTTCACAAAATCTCATTTTGTGTTCTCTTTCTTTCTTAGTCATTACTGGAAATACATAATGGAATGGATCAAAAACCTTGTAATTTGTATCCCTTTTGAATAATGGAAAGTTTTAGCAAATGAACTACCGATTTAAATGATCAAGTAGAGATGAAAAACAATACGGAAAATACAGTCGTGATCATACATAATTGTGCGGGATACAAAAACAGATTATTATAAATAATGAACATTTTACTCATTGGGAGTTCTTTATATCACTACAATGTTTACTTATTTTTTATTTTGAAATAATACAATTATATTTACTTATTTTCTATTGTGTGATTTAGAAAGGACAGTCCACCTATGTACTGTAGACACAGCCATCCAAAACCCCCAGCGTCCTATGGATATATTATGAACATTTTGTGAAACCCATGGACTCATTATGGGAAGTCAGTGCTAATTTCTGATTAATTGATATCACACTGATTTGCTTATATTATTGTGTCAAAGAAAAAAGTGACTGTCCATCTATGTCGACATAATTATTGCTACTCATAGCCGAACATGACTTTTGACTCCCGTGGATTCATTGTATTGAAGGTGGTACTGATTTCTGAAAATTGACTTCATGCTGACTTGCTGATATAGTTTGTTCTGATAAAGGTAATATGAAGGAGGTTCAAAACATGCTGTATTTTCCATTTAAATTGAAGCACAAAAAGTACATCTCTTTCAAATCTCACACTATAATTACGTTATGCATAATGTTTGCACTGCCTGTAAGCATTGACTAAAAATGGAAAATGAAATGTAACCTGTTTGTATTAGGAGTATAAAGATAAAGTAAGGCAAAGGAATTAAGTGAAATCATTGCTGGTTTAGAAGAAGTAGACTTAGAGAATGCACAGAGTTTCTAAATGTTTCCATAGGGGAGCAAATAATAACTTGGAACATATACTTGCAAACTGATGAAAGTGAACTGTACCGTCTCTGATGTAATAATTTGATATTATTATAATTATTATTATTGTTATAAATTCTTCAATTTGCTCTCTTTTTTTCTAAATTATAACAAATATAATATACTATAATAATAAAGAAATTGTTACCATTAAGGTATAACTACAGTGGCCAGTAGCTTTATAATGTTGGGTTTTATGTGCGCCAGCCTGTTACACATTATGATTTGATTTGTAGATTCATGTCCGTAACTTTCAATAGGTTAACAACAGAAATAAGAATTGCTTGCCATCTGATGTGCCACCTATCTATCCTCCCTTATACACAAGTATGTCCCGTCTAGGCCCTTACGATCTGCTGAAGACTTACATCTATCTTCTGTCCGTACTCCCACCTCTGATGCTCGCCTTCAAGATTTCTCGAGGGCTGCACCGTTCCTGTGGAACTCGCTTCCCTCCTCCGTTAGATGCTCACCCAGTCTCCACTCCTTCAAAAAATCGTTAAAAACCCACTTCTTTATAAAAGCGTATCAATTAAACTGTTAATAGCTCCTGACTGATTCCTCTTCTGCAACTGTCACTAGTCTAATACTATCCTTACCTTTTTGTGTCATTTTACCCCACTCACTCTAGCATGTAAGCTCATTGAGCAGGGCCCTCAACCCCTGTGTTCCTGTGTGTCCAACTTGTCTGGTTACAACTACATGTCTGTTTGTCCACCCATTGTAAAGCTCTGCGGGATTTGACGGTGCTCTATAAATATCATAATAATAATAATAATAATAATAATAAATGTACCCACAAGGGATATTTTGAAATTAGCTTGAGGGTATTCTTCTGGCACTGTTATTTAGAAGTTCTGCTGATCTGGAACTATGGCAAATATGACAATAAAGAAGAAAATATTATAACAAGAGAAATTCCTCTTACAGAAGATAAGATCAGTAAATCTCACAATATCTCAAAACCCTCCTCGCTGCCCCAAGGCCAGTTTCTTAATTGAACTCCCCTATATATATTACACATACATTAAACAAAAGTTTGGGGTATGCGTTTGGAAGCGTTAATGCAAGGTTTGCCAAGATGCTGTTTGTGGGGTGGGTGCTTTTGCATCCCACACAGTTATGTATTATCACAACGTATTTTCTGTTTTGTTTTTTACTGTAGAAAATGTATGGAGGAGATCAGGTTTATAGTGCATGTGTGCAGGGAATAGGGGCTGTAGTGTGCTTTTTGGGATGATAGGGTAAAAATACAACACCTGACCCAAGTGACAGACCTGGTGAATTGGAGAGCTAGAATCCATACACAAATGATCACAGATAGACGCTATGTACAGAGAGCTCTTAGAAGCTCAAAGACAGTTGACACGGCTCCTCATGCATTGGTTTCCACAATGCTCTCAAGGGTACTTTTATGTTAACGCAAATAAATGCGACAAACTATTAGCAAGCATGCTTCTGTATAAACAGAAAGTGATACAAATACACCGAATAAAACTGACTTTGGGAGAACAACCACCTTCCTAGAATTGATCGCAGCAGAATTTAATTCATATTACTCTACTCTCTATAACACAAAGGGGAAGACCCCGGTGAGGGAG